TAAATATCTATATATACAAAACTGCCTTTTTCTAGCCGATTTTTAAATATAGGCGTATGATGTTTGTCATGAAAATTTCATTTCATGACAAAAAATTTCATGACAAAAATCATTAAAATACAAAATTAATATATTTGTACATATTTCTTAAGCACTAGATAGGCATTATAGACATATTTCTAGAGGCAAAGGTTTAATAGACAGTCCATCTAGATTTTATGTACTTTATTTAACCATACTAAAATGCATTATCCAAGTGTAACATTAGGATCTAACCACTCCAACACTTAAAGATACAATAAACAAACACAATTTTCAGTTCACTCTTGACCATGACCGTAAAAATATTAATAGACTTAAACCCTATTACAAACGTACAGCCTGTATAGCATTCCTATAGGTATCTTATACACGGATGTCCGACAATTAGAATGCGTATTTAATTATAAACCATAGAATTAATGCATGTATAGAACAGTCACAAGACCTTCGCTCTCATTAAACGGAGCTCGCTTGAGTGCCGCCATTTGCTTTTCTAATTTATGTTTGGTGGTATTAAATAAAGTTTATTATGCGAACTGTGTACAATTTATAGATAAAATCGAACGTAACTTTGTGTCTTTTTTGTTTATTTATTTATTTCATCGACTGAGTGAGCTTTACAGTTTCCCAATATGCTCACTCAGGAAAGCATCAATACAGTAATATATACGTATAATTAAATGTATTAATATTAATTACATTTAAATTACATAACAATAATAATATCTATATCTTAAATCTTAAAACACAAACACTTTATGGTCATCCGACGAAACTCCAGCAAGTTGGAGGCAAACACGTCCAATTGTGGACACCGGCTCGGCTTTAACATAAAATTCATAGTACTATTAATCCTTACTAATATTATAAATGTGAATGTGAGTTTGTTTGTGTGTTATCTTTATAGCATCTTGACGGCTTAATCAGTTACTCTAATAATAATAATCTTTATTATAACAGACTATAAGGGCCCAATTTGTTAGTAACATAATCTTAGCCTAATGTTAGTACATCTTACAATAAAATAAATAAAAGAAAAAGAAATAACAAACAAATTTGGTCACCGCTGAAGCATCCCATTTTTTAATGAATAATAATGAAATTGTAAACCTGCTTGCGCTAACGATATACCCTGACAGGGCACCAGTGAAAGATAAAAGTGTGCCAGTTAAATGAAAAGGCAAATCAGTTTTTTTTTTAATGAGTGATAATGGTATGGTAACCCCGTCTGCGCTATCAGTATATACTGGCGGGGCACCAGTGATAGATGACTGATGAGGATGAAAGCAGGTCAGTTCGCCCATCCTGACGAATTCAATTAGAATTAGCTACGATGGTTTCCAGGGGGAACCACGTGGAGGTCGACCTGACAGGGTATATTGCTAGTAATGGGGCTATTTGGCCCCATTACTAACAATCCTTTTCCCCCAGGCAGATCAGTTAGCCCATCGTGATGAATACACCAGGAATACAGCACGATAGTTTCCTGGAGGGACCACGTTGAGGTCGACCCAATAGGGTACCTATATTACTAGCAATGGAACTGGTAGTCTGCATTAACACTAATAAACCCTCCTCCCTTGAAACATCCTATTTATGATACCACAATAGTGGTCCTTGGCAAGTGGCAGTTCATCCTGCAATTAAATTTGGTATACACGTAATATATAGTCAGGCGAAGGATATAGGCTACTGTTTATCCTGGTTATTAACATATCCCGGTCTCGCGGAGGACCAGTTAATATTTTTTAAGATCTCCCTATTATCTTCATTCTCACTCACTCACTTTTTATATGGAGATTTCTAAACCCAAATTATTGATATTTCAAACATTTTCTTTCATACAAATTTCATTATGATAATTACAAATACAACAAAAAATTAATCAATCAAATAAGTTCAGTGACATACATTGGAAAATAATTTTTATTTATACAGATATATACATAAAATATTCTACTATAGGTATCCGTGAAAAGCGGAGATGACTTGCTAGTTAATCAATAAATTAAAAAATCCATTGATTCGACTCGTCACCATACCTCGTAGATACAATTTATTACTCGTGCAAGTTACTGAAACCTTTATCAAGCATAAAGATCTTAGACTATCCATCACACAAATTGATATCAATGTTACAATGTAATAAACTAACATAAATCAATTAGAATCGATTCATTCGATTATCTCTGCTAATCGACAAGCAACTAGCCATTTATGACAATCGATGAACGCGGGAAGGTACTCCTTATATGGGCATACGTACGCTTCAATCGTACCATCGTCTGACCATACGCATCTCATGTATTTAAAGCTATCACTGTGTACAAATATGAATTATCGATTTAGGTGGCTACTTAGTCGATAACCTCACTATACTAGGCCGTGACCCTCACCTCTAAAAGCTGGTTATGAGAACCTTCTGGCCTTAGTAAGACAGTATGTCGTTGATAGTTTGTAACATATATGACGACTGATATATGTATATGTACGTACATGAACAGTAGGTAACCTTTATCGCTGTTACCAGCGATTGATAAATCTACACAAAACTTTACTGTTCTGTGTAGATTTATCGATACCAATAGTCGATTCAACCAGAATTACAAATTTCGAATAATAACAAAAATAACAAATCAATTATGTTTTAATTATGTTTAAGCATATACATGTCTTGCTAAAGTCATAGCATGCAAATTTAATTATTTTCATAGTTGCCATATAACAAAAATTTTGTTTTGTTTTATATACTATATTGATAAAACTTTCATATTATTTTTATGTTGTATTAAAATCGTTGTGTATTATTTAAAAACTGATCCTTTACATTCTTTTAACGTAAATAATCAGATTTTGGTGGTTTTTTGCGTATTTTTTGATGACTTTTGATGATGTTTTAAAAGGGACGCTGCTGCCAATCCCTCGACCACTAAGTTCCTTTAGTCCCGTCTTACGATACCCACAGGAAAAAATGGTGGCCCATTTTATGCCTGGACTACACGGCAGTAAATTATATGTATCTATATCTACTTAAAACAAATATTCAACAAAACTTAAGTATTTAATTATATGAGTTACTTTGTATATATGTCAACATATTTATTATTTTTTAATAGAAACATCTATAATGTTTCCTTCTATTATTGTACGCATACTGCCCGCTGGTAATTGCTCCTTTCCACTCAGGGTTTGCTGGAAGAGAACTCTTACAGAGTTAAGCTCGCCTGTTGTACATCCTTATTTTATATTATATTATATATTTGTAATTTTTCGTGTACAATAAAGAATAAATAAATGATAGTTTATTCAGCAAACATTGTTACACTTACAAAAAAGGTTCATAAAAGAACATGTATTGGAAGTGAAGGTATTACGCAATGTTTACCGAAATGGTCCTCGCTCAGCGTTGTACTGCATTATTAATTACTAAATTAATTTGTCTTAACCTTTATACTAATTAAGTAAAACGTTAATTATTAGAATATTAAAGTTAAGTGCGCCCTTTTGGTGTCTTTACTGCTAACTAGCTAGTTAATTTAAAGATGAAGATTGAATTAGATAATCTTCCAGCGAAGCCACAATCGTATACCCATTCAATTATAACAATTCACACTCGATCCGGATTGGATTTGTAATAGCTTGTTTGTTATAACAATGAGCTTTTTGTTCGTCTGTTTGACGTATCAACAACATTACAACACAAAAACAAATCGAATGAAAAAAAATTATGAATCAATGCAAAGACGAATGAATGCAAAAACTTATTGGTGTTGTAATATGAGTATAGTAAACAATGTGAAAAATTAGAAGGTCAGTTCTGATTATATGAGATTTTTATAAAAGAAAGATATATATATATATATATATATATATATATATATATATATATATATATATATATATATATATATATATATATATATATATATATATATATATATATATATATAGTAAATTTTAGTCTGCAAATAAACAACAACATCAGTCAGTGACAGTTAATACGTATCTATACTAATATTATAAAGAGAAGAGATTAGATTTTTTGTTATTATTATTATTTTTTATATAATGTGCAATCTCAAAAACAACCAATTTTAAAAATTCTTTTACCTATAGTAAAGTATGTTATTATTATTATAGTTTTGTGGTCTTAGCATAGAATAGGCCACCTCTTTCCGTGGGTTTCATAAGAGATGACTAAGAGAACTTACTGATCGAGGGATGGGCAGCAGCGTTCCACTTAAAACATCACTAAAGCCAAACTGCGATTGCCAACCTACTTGCTAAGCGTGGCAACTACTGGTATAATCCCCTTTATGGGGAAGGCCTATGTTCAGCATTTGACAGTTAACAGCTAATATCACGATGAATCGCATTATGACTTTGAAGATGAGCGAGTACACAAACAAGTAAGGAAGAAATGTATTCATTATTGGTTTTGGTTTAAAAAGAAATATACTATTATTGCCTATCTAAACATTCTTCTTCTTCAACAACTTCTTTTGCCTTCTCTATAATTATAATTCATAAATCTCGTTTTTAATCAATTTGTCTTTATATATTTTTGACAGAGGGAGACTTTGTACAAAAGTCGTTTGCTTGGATACCTCTATCCCATTCGTGTTACAACCGTGAAGCAGCTGTGTTTGCATGGCTGTGTTTCAGTTTGAAGGGTGGGATATGGCGTGAATTAACTGGGTATGGAGGAATAACACCTGAGTCCTCAGGAATGGCAACGCATGGGGTATCATACTCTGTTATGTCCATGGTACCGCTCATGTCTATAGGCGACGGTTACCACTTTCCATCAGGTGGGCCATCAGCTTGTTTGCCATTCTAAGTTGTATAAAAAAAAAACTTGTTTTGTTATCATCATCATCATTTCAGTGATTATCTGTCCACCGCTGAACTTAGACCTTTCCCAGAGACTGCCACTTAATATTTTTTTTTCTTTACAGTTACCCAATCGGAACAGGAGCGCTCATGTATCGCCCTACTTCGGCTACAACGGCGTTCAGGACAGTTCCTCTGGGTTCACGCTGTTCTCCAGCTCAAGGACAATCTGGAGAACTCACAGCGGCCTGTTATTGTTTGCACCAACCAGGTGTTGAGGTAAGAACAACACACAGGTTTTTCTTCCAAACTTCGACTATAATAATGGTATCATAGAACATTAAATTTAAAATATAAGAATTTAATATACGGGAACATATGCCTTTAAAAAGATTTTTTTCACTATAAGCAAAACTTTAGACTGCCATGCCGTCATAGAATAGGACACTCCTTCCTTTCCCGTGTGTCGTAAGAGACGACTAAAGACGGCGAAGCATGTGCAGCAAGCTCCCTCTTAAAACGTCTCCAAAACCTAAGTGCAGTTGCCAAGCATGGCAATTACTGGCAAACCCCCCTAATGGGGGAGGATTATATTCAGCAGTCAACAGTTAAAGACTGATATGATGGTGTAGCCTTTGAACGTCTGCAATACCAGAGGTATTACGCGCGCGTTGGCGACCCTGAAGAAACCTCTTTACCCCCCTTTTGAAAGACCCCATGCTGTAGTCTCTTGGGAATACCTCGGCAGGGAGCTCATTCCATAACCTGAGTGTTCGTGGGAGAAAACATCTCTGAAACCGCGTTGTACGCGACCATATAGGCTGTAGGGTATGAGGGTGAAATCCCTGTCAATGGCGAGCCGTACGATGGTAGAAAGTGGCTGTAGGCATCATAATGAATAATTCCACTGAGCACAATCCGTTGTACAAGCGGTATAATACGCAGAGTGAGGCAAAATCTCTCCTAAGACTTAAGAGTTCGATACCGCTTGCAAGCCTGGGATCATCGACAATTCTCATAGCTCGTCGTTGCGCTGAGTCGAAGGGTTCAATTTAATTAATTTCATTATCACAAAATGAATAAGGTATCAATCAATACGGGGTGGCACATAAAAATATTGTATTTGGAACAATTATATTTGATCTACTTTTTACAATTACAATTATACTTATAAAAAAAAAACTCTAAGATGATTCTGTAGTCAAACAGTTCTTATGAAGTTCTCACGATTAATGGAATTTGTAACATTTATATTGCATATAATTTGAGCCAAAATGCAAATTCATAGGCCCAATTGACATCTGAAGTTATTGAACACACAATCATTTTTAAATCTTATTATTACATCTATAAGGTTTATAATTATTTGGTAACATATACCTAATCATACCGTACTATACTCATTACGATTCACCAAACAACCAATTTTGAAGCCGGTCACTGATTGGAACATTTGTTCTATCAGCCATAAATCAATCAAAATTTTAAATACTCCTACAAATTACTAGTCCAATGCTAATATTGTTAATTTACGATTCGAGTCGTGTATTCGCCCACTAGAGAACCTATAGGACTAAATGTTAAATCCATAAAACAAAATTAATTTACGAGCATATCATAAGACAATAGCTTCTGGCTACCCTCTGGAGAATGAAGTGAAGGTCGTAAGAATATTTATCTAATACATTTAACAATAATAATATTTACATAAAACTTTCACCATTTTAAAATCGGAAAAGTATAATACACGATTACCTAACGAAAAAGGGAAGAGGCTTATTAATATTAGGATCTAGGCCCTTGAATCTTGACAGAGCATATTGCTAGCAATAGGGTGGCTATACTTTCTAGCATATTCTTTCTGTCGGTCTTTTGAACCTCTTCGCAATTCTCCCTAGAAACCATCTTTTTATTGATTCCTAGTGAATTCGTTACAATGGACCAATTGATCTTATTTCATTCTGACCTATCAGTTCTCTGATACTATGCTAATGCCTAAGGCTAGTGCATATCGATAGCGCAAACGGAATAACTATTCCATTTTTATCTTAAAAAAAACAACCAAAAGATCTCGTAAAATATATACAGTATTTAGTATTTTAATGTAATAACTACCAGATTAACTTAGATGTAATTTAGTTAAAAATAAGCTTCACTAGTTTCGGGACCATTCCAAACCTTTAATCTTGAGTGGCTGTGACGCGAGCGCGATATTATTATATACTATTATACTATATGTAATTATTACATTAAAGTGTAATGTATACTTACGAAAGTTTCAACAAAAAGATAGAGCTTAGTGATTATGGCTCGAAGATTAGGCGCCTACCTTTTTATCAACGTCTGGATACATCGAAGAGAATTTTAAGTATCCAACTAAATGTTATTAAAGTATCAACATGAGAAAGTAAATCCGATTAATATCAATAATTTACTCCATTATTTATGTAGTAATAACAGTTTACATACACGCAAGCGAAATCTCAATCGTTCAGGCAAACGAGCGCTAAATCGCTGGACCACTCGCAAACCCAGCTTAATCGTTGTGGGTACCTCAGAAACCTATTACCACACAGTTGATATAATAGAGCAGTTATGTGATTGTTTATGCCACGGACGTAGTTTATACTAGAAGTGTCATTACTATCATGTGCTTTCCATTTATTTTAATTTTACAAAATCTATTAATTTAAATATTGAAAACAGACGTCCGACGATACTATTAAATTCTATAATCTTTTCGAAAATACTGTGTTGTTTTTTTTTATCTCTAAATGTTTTTTAAAATTTTATGTAGGAATACCGAACTCTTTTGAACGTATTTAGAGTATAAAATTGCATGTAAAATTTGGTAATTTGTGTATATGTATGAATAGTAGTGTCTATATAAAAACTGTTGCAATGTAAACATTACGATATCTGTTTCAATTCATATTATGACTGTGGTTTGGTCTGAGCGGGCACTTAAATGAGCTCTGTATTTTACAACCTAATGTAACTCAAACACTTCAGAATACGTTAAATTCTGGTCGAAACTAAGACTTTGTGTTGTTTGAATGATAATTAAGTAGATTCTTATTCTAGAATATCGATTCACAATTGATGAAGTTAACAAACATAATAAATACAGTATAAGTAATTATTATAATTCTATTAATATTATATAATAATACTATAAATGAGAAAATTTGCAAGGATAAAGGGATGAATCAATGTTTGTTACTCTTTCAAGCAAAAACTTCTTAATTTTTCTTCCTTTTTGGATTTGAATGAAATTTAGTACACTGGTAGATTTTTTTAATGGATGATAATGGAATAGTAACCAGTTTGTGCTAACGGTATACGCGGGCGGGGCACCAGTGAGGGATGATAGGTGAGAATGAAAAGACAAGTCAATTAACCCCGTCGTGCGGTATACCACACCTAAAATTTACCACGATGATTTCCAGGGGGGGGGGGGGGCATCCATTGCGTCCCCCCCCCTTGGACCCTGTCAACCTGACCTGTTAGCAATGGGACTAGTAGTCCAAATTACTAACAAACCCTTCCCTACACTGATAGGTTATATCCTAACTTAACTTTATGTACCGATGTACACGAATAAAGCCACGATAAATAGCTAGTAAAAAATAGTGCAATCAAAAGGAAAACCTTCTCCAATCATATGAAAAAACTGTGCATGTACATTATGTACATACATAGACATAGTTCAATAACGTTAACCAAATAAATCTCCAGTTACGTAAACATTGTCAATAAACATAATTAATATGAGCTATGATGTCGAATTTCCAACGAATTGATTGTGAGACGTAACACATCTAATTGGGGGGAAAGGGATTGTTAGTAATGGAGACAGAGAATCCCATTGCTAGCAATATACCTAACCAGGTCGACCTCCTCGCGGTTCTCTCTGAAAACTATCATGGTTAATTTCTGATGAATTCATCATGATGGGCTTACTGGTCTCTTTTCATTCTCATCTATCACCCTTCACTGGTGCTCCGCCAGCGTATCCCGATAGCGCAGGCGGGGTTACTATACCATTTTCACCCATCAAAAAAAAAAAGAAACATCATAAATTTCTATTATTGGTCTAATCATAGACAAAAAAAATATTAATTGAAAAAGAGCATATAAAAAAAATATACACTAAATGTGTTTATTTATTTATAAGGTGGTGGTTTAACATACGTTTTAATAATAGCTGTAAACCTACTCTATTCTTTCTATCTCCTTATTTATTACTAATATATCGAAATAACCTACTATCTGCCGTAATCGAGAGTGGAATCACTTCATCATGGTATGATAGCTGCCCTCGCAATTATTGCGTGAACTAACGTAAAATGGGAACCTACGACATGTAAGATAAAACCTTCGTAGACTTCCATAGTCTTAAACTGATACATTCATTTCCAATTTTATTAAAGATAACAATGCAAGGCTAAATTAAAATTATTTATATCATTTTTAAGAGAATTTTCTGAATGAAAAAATGCTTTGATTATATAAATAGAGGTCAACTTTTCCATACAAATTTTGCATGACAATTTTTTTTCTGAGGTGGCAAACAATTGATTAAGCGCGTAAATAGTTATAAGTAATTCCTTTATAACGTCTATATTTATTATGTTTTATAAAATGCACCTTTTTAATGCTCAAAAACGCATTTTATTTATTAAATAATGAAATATAAATACGGCAAGATACATTGTGTGCGTAAATATATAGAACATTAATAAAAAAACAAGTCGGCTAATATGACAATTAACTGACAAAAAGTTGACCCGTTTTTAAGACTCGATACTCTATCTATATAATCTAATCTATGGTTTGTAATAAGTTTGTCAACTCATACGTGAACCGTACCGTAACAGTGTGGAATAGCCTTTCCCGTGACATATTTCCTTCATCCTATAACCTGGGATTAAATATCCTTCAAACGTAAGATGAAAAAACACTTAGTGAGCCGGCATAATGCGGCTAACCGTTGAGAGTTTTTTTTTTTTTTTTATACAACTTAAAATGGCAAACAAACGGACAGCCCACCTGATGGAAAGTAGTAACCGTCGTCTAAGGACATGAGCAGTACCATGGACATAACAGAGTATACTGTATGATACCCCCCATGCATTACCATTCCTGAGGACTCAGGTGTTATTCCTCTGTACCTAGTAAATTCACGCCATATCCCACCCTTCAAACGGAAACACAGCCATGCAAACACAACTGCTTCACGGTTGAAACGAGTAGAACGTTCTCTTTTCGGTTGACAG